GGTTTGTGGGTCAGATTGGAGTTGCCCCTGAAGACCAGCGACGTCATTGATGTCATCGTCTTGGCAATGCAAGAGAGAATGCAGCAGAAGGAAGAACGGTAGGGATTAGGGTTTAGGGTTTAGGGTTTAGGGTTTAGGATTTAGGGTTTACGGTTTAGGGTTTAGGGTATAGGATTGCAAAGAGTATGACTATGAGATGAACATGCTGTTAAGCGCAGTTTCCTTTTTCTGAAGAACCGAAATATAAGCCACCATTTAGGGTTGAGGGATTAGGGTTTAGGGTTTAGGGTTTAGGGTTTAGGGTCTAGGGTTTGCGTGAAGGGCACGAGCAAAGAGCAAGTTGAAGGTTTCTTATATGATGGACACGCAGAAGGACTCTGAAGATTCTTCAGAGACATACTCCGACGACGAGTTTGCTGTTGTTGGTGCTGCTGCTGAGCAGCAGCAGCAGCAGCAGCAGCAACAGCAGCAACAACAGCAGCAGCAGCAGCCGCTGCTGCTGCAGCAGCAGCAGCAGGAGCGCGCCAGGAGCCCTTCTATTAAAGGCCCCCACCGTAACCGCAGCACTTTAAGCACAACATCAGCAGCTCCCGATACACCCAAAGGAAGGGGTTCTAGGCTTACGCAAGCCTTCAATCAAAACCCTATGAAGTTAGAAGTTAACACCAATGATGAAGATATTGAAAGTGAGGGTCTAGGGTCTAGGGTTTAGGGTTTAGGGTTTAGGGTTTAGGGTTTGCCGGTAACTTGCGCGGCCTGTTCACGAGCTTCTTGCATATCCGACGGCATGTCGTGCTACTGGATATGATTATTTAGGGTTTAGGGTTTAGGGTTTGTGTACAGGCGAGAGTGGGAGAGCTTCAGTGCAGTTAGATGAGGGTTTAGGGTTTAGGGTTTAGGGTTTAGAGTTTCGGGTTTGTGTATAGGCGAGAGCGCGAGCGAGCGCTTGAGTGCAGTTTGAATAAAATTCAGGGTTTAGGGTTTAGGGTTTAGGGTTTAGGGTTTAGGGTTTAGGGTTTAGGGTTTGTGTACAGGCGAGTGCGAGAGCGTTTCAGTGGAATTAAATGAAATAGACGATGAATATATGAATGAGGCCTTTGCGTTTCGCGAGACGATCCCTGAAAGCCTTCGTGAAGATGTTAATGCGGTTGTAGATATCATCAACGAAACAGGTTTATGCAAACCCATTCACGAGCTCGTTGCCGCTCTCCTAGAGGTGAATCAGGGTTTAGGGTTTAGGGTTCAGGGTTTAGGGTTTAGGGTTTAGGATAGGGGGGGGCAAGGGGGGTTAAAGGCTTTGGCTGGAAGAAAAACCGAAAATTCAACTTGCAGAACGGGGTAGCGATGGACAGCAAGGGTTTAGCGTTTAGGGTTTAGGGTTTAGGGTTTAGGGT